AGTATTTACTCCACTGCAGTACTTCCTTAACAAGTACTTACAGCGGATTATGTGCCTTTCTCATGAGATAACAAGTAAAACTAATGAAGTGCTTGCTGAGGTAGTACTTCCTGACTGAGTACTGCTTATCCTAAACTTAAAGGATTATCTCTCTTTCTTTCTGTCATGAGTAAAACCATGACATCTTCAGAGTGCGTTCTTCGTACAACAATTGAAATGATAATATTCCTGTACATTCTCCACTTGAATAAGTATATTCACAATAAATAGAATCAACTGATATGGGATTAGCCAGAAATAATTGTAAATCACAATATTTACATTCGAACTAGGTATTATCACTGACACAACCAACAGTCCATTGCAAACAACTAACACACTCTGCTACTAAGTCAGTAAAAATTAGTACTCCCATAAAATGTTATGACATCACTGTTGCAATCTGTAAAATAAAGTTAGGTTTGATATAAGTAGTATAGCATAATGAAAGCACAGATTAAAAACACAAGCAAATAAAATACGATTATATATTGTGACAATAAAAATGGCGCTCATCAAGATAGATACATAAGTAATCAGAGAAAGATCACTTCTACATAAACTGTAAGTACTTACTTAGGAAGTACTTACTTAGGAAGTACTTACTTACAGTGAACAAAGATTTATTGTTCAAAACTTATCAACTTACTCTGTAACCACTTGCTAAGCAAGTACTACATGCAATGTTCTTTAAATGTGACGAAAGTTTACCACTACTATGACGAAAATTCGCCTCGTGCAACGAAATTTTTGGTGTGTGTGACGAAAATTCACACTTTGGTGACGACAGTTCCCGAGGAGTACCTCCCCCCAAGGAACTTTCGTCATGTATGACCAAAGTGCGTTCGTCATAATGACGAAAGTGTGGTGTGACGAAAGTGCCATAATCCGATATTTTCGACATCTTGTACACTGTGGATATTATCGGCTTTTGGTTTTGATTTGTTTTCGTCGGTGGCTGTTGACTGTTTCTCTTTTTGGTAATTTGTACTTGAACAATTAATTGAATAACCCGATGAACTTAAAGGTGATTTTAGTACTTTCCCAGGTGATGCTTCTTTTGTTTTCTGTTGTGTTGATCATTAGTTATTGTTTGTGGCACTTTTGAGGTGATTTTAATATCCCATTCATCTAATAACTTTCTGGTTGAATTCGAATCATTTCCTTTGTCATCGCATATAATTGACTATAATAACCGTATAGTCGTACTATGAGGCCAGAATTTAATCGCGAAAATTTTAAACAGACTAAGCGATAGCGCAATGGCTTCTTCAACGTCTTTCGTTAATACCACACAGTTCCACTCGGGTATGATGTTTATTTTTCGTCTGTATATTGAATAGATGGATTGGGAGACACGGGTTTCTGAAAATCAACTGGTTAGGATCACTCTCGCCGACGATGCCATATACCGATTGATTATTGTCATCTGAACAAAATGATTATGTTGTGGTTCATTTCGAGAAAGAAACGATAAATCTGCCAGCGAAACTGTTTGAAGTTTATAAGAAACTAAACACCGGCGACAAAAATGTCCGCTACTGAACGACTGTTGAAAAGTACCAATGTTATGTGCAGCAAGATTGTCAGTCGATATCGACGTAAATTTAAACAATAATTGTGAATCAAACGCGGCAATTATTAACTCGTTTGATTGTAACCTGTTCAAATCTTCAATAATTGATGTATATGAACGTTGTGAACGCTCCTTATACTTCAAATAATTGGTATTAACAACGGCTAATAGTGTGATGCATTGTAATAAAGAACGAAAAATATCTGGAATATCTTCGAATAAGTAATAGAAAAAAGTAAGCTTGTGTTTGTCTTTCTGGGGACCAATTGGATTTGTTAAGCCAACACTAACATATTAGCAAATTAGCCGTCATCATTAAGGATGAACATGGCGCAAGTGAGGCAAACCGAGTAGTCCCTTAGGTATTCCTCTCACGATTATTGACTCACCTATCGGTGCAGAGTTGCAATAAAAAAAAGGTGTCGTTGATATTTTCTTCAAATTTACCATCACGAAATTAGAATATAAGATCGTCATCTTTAATCACTTTTTCTTTTTGTGGTCGAATATTGTGGATTAATAATGGTACCATTTCTTCTTTTGACAATATACGATATAACGACTGGTGATGTGGAATATAACAGGCATAATCTTGCTTCACTTTTGCTTCTACTGGTGCCGCCAATTGTATTGGTGTAAGCGGTATTTCTTTCGGTAATAAATAATTGAAAAACTTTACACATAAGTTGTGAAAGTGATACTCACTTTTTGTTGTACGTTCAACAGTATCACGAACGTTGTCTAATACACCCAACATAATATGAAGGTGTCCCACTGTTGTACCTGTTTTACTCCTGTCGTTCTTTACTAATTGATTAACGACTTTTTCCGCTTTTTGTGATATTAAATTGAAAACAATGTCTAGTAAATAAACAACGTTTTCACTAATCGGTCGTAATGACAACAGATGTTCCTCTCGAAGTTCGAGTAAAAAGCGGGTAAATTGTTTTTGAAAATCATCCATTGAATATTGTTTATGAGATTCAAATATTGGGAGAGTGTTATTAGAAAGGTCATATTCTCCGTTGCAGTCATCATAATACACATACGTTGGTGACAGCTCATTCTTATCATCGTCACGTTCCTGTTCATGATTGTGAATCTCCTGGTCATCTCGGAGTGATTCAACTAATAAATCATCGTTTACATCTGTTGTTGTTTCTGTTACTTCGATTTGGTTTTGTAACAGATTTGAGTGTTGTCTATATACATGAGATTTAAAGGGACTGTAAGTTGAGTAAGTTTTCCCACACTTTGATGATAAAGCGCAACTTAATTTAAAATCTGGTTCGCAATAATTATATGCAGATAAATGACTGAAAAGACTGCGGAAATTTGAAAACCGTCTTGTGTTGAGACAGAATACACAATGAAAATTTTGTTTTGCCATGTTGTAGCTGTTTAATCTTATAATAACAACAAAACAACATAACACAAGAGATATAAACAAAGGCAACATGTGGTTCTTATGAGAGTAAAGCGGCTGCTATAAGAAGACAAACGCTAAACTACTGCATAATGCCCAAAGAAACGGCACCAACAAAGTACACAGAAAACGGATCTAACCGCAATCACAAAGATATTTGAGACTCACGATTATTTTTCTGCTGAACATAGTCAATTCATAAAAAGCCTAGACTCATTGTTCTTTCACTCGCTTCTCGAAAATATTCTGTTTTGTCATAACAGTCCACTTACTTTCAAAATTTTTAATCGTTTCTTCATCGAACATGAATTATCTTAACGTTTCATTATCACTTCATGAGAATGGATTCATCACTAATAGCTTGGACGAAAGCAGTTTAAAAGCTAAAACTTTAGTTTACGCACCGGCAAATTCGTAAAAAGCAGAAACAATAACGTATATCAATGAACTGGTTGTCTGCACAAAGTTACTACTGGGGTATCTATATAGAACTACTAATACTATCTGGTAGTGTATCTTAATCTAAAAAACAAGAATCTGATATTGGTACCTCTGAGACCCGAAGGACCTCAGCGAGAATCTGGTGACGTGTTAAGGGAAGAGCACCAGTCAGTGCTTAATACCGCCTGATCATCTTTGAGCATCTCTTACCAGACTTACTAATACTGATTAGAGCCGATGTTACAGAACTAAAAACGTATGTGTGATCAACAAAAACGCTATATATAGTGTGTATTTTCTATAAAAAAAAATGTGATGAGAGGCTATGTTGACACACTGTATGCAACTAACCATACGCGACTATATATGCCCACACAAACCGTAAAAAGAAAAGAGACAGATCATACCATCCTACCCACAATAAAGGAAAAATACAATGTAATGAAATAATAGGGTTATGCGAAATAGACGTAAGTAACTGAATAAAATGATTCCTCGTACGTAAAGATAACACGAGGAAAAAAAGGTGGCGTCGACGATAGAAAAAAAGACGAATATTTTCTTTACTTCGCCTTATTTCACTGTGAAGGAAGTATTTTCCAAAATTGAGTCTATAGACAAAGGGATGTCACATTTAATTTCCTAACTTTGATCTGATAAGCTCGACTTCATAAAATTCGATCTTCAGGGTTAACACAAACGATCGTTTTCTACCCAGAAGATCAGCTTCTAGAAACTGGTTTATGCCACATCATTTTTAGGAAATTTACTTTACTGTATTTCATGTTTCAGATCCGAGTCTCAAAAACGCTTCCTAAAATGTGAAGAACGCTAGTTGAAACTGGTAAAAAATTGTTTTTGGCATCAGTATTTTCAGTATTCGTCAGGAAGTTTCAGTAAAGTAAAGCAGAGATAAACTGAAAAAAACTTCGAATATAAAATGGTCTACACATTACTTTCACCACCTTATATTCCAACTTATCTGCTTTTTAACTTTTCTAAAGCAGAATCAATGCAAAAAACTAACTAATTTACGTGGTAACTACACGGTGGTTGCAGTCAGTTAGAGAGTATGGACATACAAGGCCTTTTTTAGTTTACTGTTGCACAGCTGGAATTTTTCTTCAGACGCATTGGATATATCGAAAACGAGTCTTCTTTGTCAGAAAATGTACTATGTTTAAAGACTTCTGTGTTCTTGTCTGAATCGATGCATACTTTGCAAAGGTCTGAAAATAAAAATGCACAGAAGTGAGAAATGCATCAAAGATAGATGTTTTTTACACCAATTGTGAGTATCCTCGGTGTAAGATCGTTTTGCTTTCAGTGACTCTCAGGATGTAGCAAAGATCAGTTCGATCCTGTTTGACGCACAGAGGGTTGGGGCTCAGCCATTCCGTCTCATTCACAGGATATTATATTGGCTCTAATAATGCACTCATCCGAGCGATAATAGCTTTGGGTATACATTCTCGGAAAGTCCAAGCGTGAATATTTTCTTCACGTACGGCCTGCCTTACCGGTAATATTCACACCTGAACCATAAAACATCAATCGCTCTCACTTTTATTTTAGGATCAAATGTCAGTTATATATTGAACCATAATTGAGAAGTATATGGGAGAACTTAGAGAAGTCTGAGATAGAAGCAGTTTTAGAAATAACAATAAAATTTTTTCTAAAAGTTCAGAAAACTGTTAACATAGTTTCTATTACAAGTAGAGAGCGTGTTTACAAATAAAATTGCTTAGTTTTTAAGCTCAATCTTCAACCAAGTCTGAGGGGAATGATTCATCTTGATTGCATTGTGTTCTCGAAGAGAAAGCCGGATAAAACATGGTGAAATCAAGATGGCAATTAGCTTAAAAAACACTTTATTTGGATAGATCTTCTCGAATTTTTCTTTTTCACTCTTTCTTTATATAGTAATCAATACGTAAGAGTTCACCAACGTTAAGATAAATTGTTTCTTGGCTTTTTACGTTCCTGTATGTGTGGAGGGAGTATTTTAACTATGTCTTACTATACGCACATGTATTTAAGGAATGTTTCTTATGGTATTAGTTAAAACTCTTGTGGTTTCTGAGAACATCCGTCTATCTGAGGAATTAATTCAAAATAGAGATGAAGACCGATGGGTTTCGCGCTCTCAAAAACGATGTATGTGTATTATAAAAATTTAACTTGATTGAATACAAAACCGATTGCGCTTTTTAGGAAAAAACGAAATATGCAATGATTTAGTAGTATTGCTGCATGACGGTTGGGATTTTTAATGGTTCAAAGAAAGGATTGTACTAAATCAGCTTCGATTGTTCGAGGAAGGGATAAACTGAAGAAGCCCAGGTCCAAAAAAACGGCCCGTTAACGGCCAGTTAATCTCCAGTAAACGGTCAACACAAAAAACGGCGCGTTAACGTTATGGAAACGGCAGAAAAACGCCCAGTAAACAAGTCGTTAACTTGCC